TGTAAAAATTATAATATTTTAGATATTTTGAAGAATGTATAATAATGATAAGCGAAATACATAAAAAAAAACATTTTAATTGAATCCGGTGTATAGTATGTTAGTTTATTATAAATTAGTAAAATGTGATATTGATTTTCTATAAAAAATATATTATATAATATAAATATATAATACTTATAATAATTCGTTTTCTAAAATGTTATGTTATGTCCCAAAAACTGTTAGTTATTAACAAGAATTTTGTTACTTGTAATCGGTGACTTTTCCCCCACCAAATTAGGATCTGTAATCTCAGTGACCGTTCAATATAAATTTATTAGAGAACTAATAAAACAAATTTGTAGTAAACGTATAACAAAATATGCATATATTACAAGCAGAAATAAATGTTGTAGTAACCAAGCTTTTTCCTATAGCCATTCATGTGTTGTCCTTGTCTTACAAATGTACACCATATAGCAAAATCTGTTTTGCGGGGGTATTATCACACAGTCTGTGGTCCTTGTAGAGACACTAAAGGTTTACACAATATAAAAGATAATATTTTCTGTGTCTTAACGTTTTTATTTATTTGATATTATTAATAAGAAAAAAAGTTATATTACCTTTAAAAATCTAATATTTTAACGTTTTCCAAACTTAAATAGCTTTTGGTATATTGGTCTTAACGAAAAAATAAAAGCGATACGACACAGTTGAAATTCTTCTCTATTCGTGGTGTAAATTTGATTTCTTATTTCTCTGTAGCCTTCTCGGTTCTTTCTCGCGCCAAACAGTTTTTGCTACCTATGTTATACATTTGTAAAATGGAGACAACACATGCAGCTATAGCGTCTTCTTGAACGTAATTCAATATAAATTATTTATAACTTATTGTTATAAGTGATAGTACTCAAACAAATTAAAATTAAAATACGAACTGTTATATTATATAATAGTAACTTCTTAAATAGTTTTAAAATATGATACTACTATATTATAATTATTTATATACATATTTGATATTATTATTGTAAAGGAGAAATTCTTGTGTATTTAGTAGTAATTTGATGAAATTTAATAAAATTATATGTATATGTTTTTATTATTATGCAGCATATAAAAATAGTTCGAAGGAAATAATAATTGTACTCATATTATGTTTGAGTATAAATGCTTTACTATTTTTCTTTATACTGCAGATAGAAAAATTCAAAAATATTTACTCTTTAAACAGAAAAATGCTAAAATTGTTTACGTTTCAATAAAAGTTATTTTGATCTCAAGTTTATAAAATCCATAAATATAAATTAATACAATTTTAATACTGCAGGTATAGAAAATATGTAAGTTTTATATGAATGTAATTTTTTTGATTTTTTTAGTATAAATAAATTACATAAATAAATTTTACGTAAATAATGTCCAGGAATCTAAATTATTTGTATCCTGCATTGAAGAAAAAAAGAACAGTATTTGTTTGTTTATTTTTTTTATGTTTTCCTCAAATATAAAATAGTTATTTTATGTTATTATAGAAGTTGTGTTAAATAGAAAATTATATTTTTATTGGACTTAATAATTTACATATATCATTCTCTTGAATTATGTATAATGTATATTTATAATTTACGTATTATATTAGTATTTAATTTTTATATTTAAGCATATTTTCTGATTAGTTTTTTCCTGTGGAGGTTTTTTTAAATTATTGGATTTATTTATTTTGTTTTTATCTCGTATTTTTTTACACTTACTTTCATTTTTTCTTGAACTGGTACCATTTTATAAAAAGTGTTTATATTAAATTATTTTGTTGTTAGTCGTTGATTCATCATTCTTAATTTGTTGTGTTCTAATTTCTAATTACTGTGGTTTGCTTCATAATACATTATTACTAAATACTAATTTATATTTCATGAAGACCGTATATTTACGCCTAAAGAAAATGGACTGACGTTTTTTTTTATTTCATTGGTTACAAAAAATAAATTTTATAATATTTATTTTTTAAGAAAGTTTAATAATTCTATCGAACAAAGTCGAAAAGACTTATTGCCGATGGTTTTTCATCGCTACATTATTTCGGTTGTGTATTCTCAACATTCAAAAATATAAAACTGATTATGTTAAATTCAACGTTCAACTGTTTTATACCTGTTAATACTAATACAATTTGTTGATATAATATTTTGAATTTTACACTAAAAACTCGTAAAATGCTTAAAAATGCAAAATAAAACTTCCACTTTTGAAATACTGTTACAATAATCGAATTGTGTACTTCTGAAATGTATTGTTCTAAAACGCCTTCTTCCAATCAGGCACTTTGCATTGAATTCCTGGCCCTACTAATACAATATAACTTAATTATTGTTCAGAGATTTTGAAGCAATTAGTTAGTTCATTTTTATTTTGTTTTTGAGATGTTGTACATAACACATTATTTATCATAGCTTTAAATTACATAGTATGTTACACTTAATATAGTATTACAGTAGCCTATCTCTTAGTTGATATTAGAGAGTATATAGTATGTTATTTGATTGAACAGATAGTTCAAAGTAAATTCTAGCTTTAAAGTTGTCAACTACATGACGTGGGCGTAGACGCGTGGGTCGATTAGACAACAATGTCGTCATAAGTCTGCAGTTTCGCTAACAAATAGTCAAGTGTACTCTTTCGATCACCTGTCGTCAGCATATGGTTTTGATGTTTACCATAAAAAAGTTATATTAACTACATTTCGTTTTAGATAATCAACTTGTATTGTTTTTACGTATTTATATGCAACACATTTCTTCTACTATGTGTGCCTATGTGTTGTGCATAGTACATACAATGAAATTGACGTTCGAAACATTGTTCTGATGAAAAGAGAGAGGAAAATAGAGGGAGAGAGAGAGAGAGATTGTGTAGTATAACGTACTATATTACTATGAACAGTGTGTTTGCGAAAATGGACAAGACCAAAACTAAATTGAACGAAAACTAAGGGTTGAAAAAAAAACATTCTCGTTTCTACCTAAAACCCCATGAATATCTCATTACGGACACAACTTCGGCATAATTTTGTTATTGACGGTTTTCTTTCTTTTACTTTTTTTGTTCTGATTTGCCTGTCGATAATTTATTTTCCTTTCCGGGTACATAACCACCATATTATATTTTACGACTAACTGTTAGCATTTATCTAACGACGAGAACATGACTAATATTTCAGTATCCTTATTCAATAGTCAATAGTATGATATAATTCATTGAATGGAATCATTGTAATTTTGAATCTTAGAATTAAATTTTGTTTTATTTAAAAAAAAAAACTTAAAATCTAGTTTTTCTCAAAATTCTTATATACTGCAGGCGTTTCAAGTTTTCAACAATGATAGTTAAGGTTTATAATAAAGTACCAACTTATTCTTAAATATAGCTTATTATGGTGTGAAAAATATAAAAATGAAAAACATTTTTGTGAAACTGAAAAGTAAAACAGCTATCTATGTTAAATTAAACTGGGTGTTATAATCTAATATTATATACCTAGAACAACTATATAATATGTATATAACAAAATACTTAATGTTTTACAATTTTGAACATTCATATGTAATATATACTAGTATATTATAGGTAATATTACAATGTCAAGTTTAGACGCTATAAGTTAAAATTTAATAATAAGACATAAAAAAAAACAAACGAAATTTCCATTTTTTAAATTGTAAATCTTAAAAAAAATATAATATGATAACTTAGGATCTATTTTATTTATTTTGTATAGTTAGCAAAATATAACAAGGTTAATCTTATTTGTTCAAGTATTTTAAGTAAAATGTAGACGTTTTTTGAAATACTTCGTGCAATTGTATATTTACCAATTAATATTTATTTCATAGATATTTAGATTTGAATTATTTCAAATAATTATTATAGGCATTTGAAAATCTTAATATATTTTCTTAAGCTCTCAACATTCCGTGAAATGTCCTTGATTTTTAATACAATGTTGATCGATGGGCAATATTGTCGTATCGGCTGTATGTGAAACGGCGGTTTCCAGATAATTTAACTTTCCTGATTATTAAATGCAACACATCCTCTACATACATTAGAAGTATAGGCATCTCCAATTATTGAATAATTATTTATACTCAAGCTTAGAATATTTAATCGTATATAATTATAATACGATTTTTAAAGTCCATATATAAATAACTAATGACAATAATATTGTATTCTAAGTAAGTAGTAGGTACAATACAAAGTTCTATACATATAAAAAAAAATTTCTGTTATTAACAATTGTTGTGTTCTAAAAAAATAAAAACAGGAAACCAAAGTGTTAATTACATTAAATGCGTATTAGTGAATCAACCACTGTGGCGTTTGAATTGTAGTAGGTATTACCCATAGGAGTTGACGGTCGATAAAAGTGATGATAGGTGTATCTACTAAACATTTTTTGTTTATAATATTATGATGAAAATCTAATAAATAACTGTTGGTTCATACAATTAGGCTAATTCCATATTTGTATATAAATTAGATTTTAATGATTGAAAATCGTTTTAGGTTAAGTTTAATAATACAATAAACTCTCGATTATCCGCGGAATAGGTTGTAACGTATACGCAACCACGGATAATAAGCAAAATTCTCAAAATACAAAATGGAACAAAAATACTATTATTCTGTTATTAAAAGAAATTATATTATGTACAATATTACATAGTATTTAAATACAATTAGATAATAATAATAATAATAATAATAATAATGTATTTCAACTCAATCTTTATACCTTAGTACACTTATGCATAGTACACACTACATAGTATTTGCAATAGTTGATTACTCTAGATACGTTGTATTTTTATTGAACATTCGTATAATATATGCCTACGACACATGCAACATTTACATTAAGTTTTTATCCAAAACATTTATTGTACCTGCATAACAAACCTGCCGATAGCCGATAGTTTACTGTAAAATGTGTTTTATTTTTATTTTTTAAGGAGCAAAACCGTCATAGCACCGAGGACGTGCATTCGACGGATGAACCACTTTTCGATCCGTGTCCGTCGTTTTTGGGTTTTTGCGTTGTACGTACATTCAGGGGACACGTGAAAGAATGGTTGACAAATTGACCGAAATAGTCAATTTTGGAATGGCGATCGGTAAGATTCAATACATAATTATTATACATTATAAACTCATTTTTTCTCTTGATATCGTTTTAACATTAGGTGGCTTGTTTATTGCCCATTAAATATTATAACGATGCCATAACGTAGCTATAATAATACTAATAATATGCATATGTTATATTGTACTATAATATGTTCTGCTATTGCGCATTTATAAATTTAGACGTGGTGCGGACGCTGCGGCAAAAAATCATCGCTGTGTGCCGGAAGCTGGGCATCGGCGTTTGCTTGCGCACCGTCATTTTGATATTTTGTCTCACGTTCTTCTGGGTACAAATGCACATGTCTGACGTGGCCGACAACGAGACGATACAGATACTGGCCAAGCCAGACGGACTGCTGGATGCTAATGATTCCATGTTGCAACTGGTTCCACAGGTGCGATTTTTATATACATTCAAACAATAATATAATTATACCTACCTGCATTGCAGTATACACTCCTTGCTAGTACGTATACTGTGCGTACAGGAGTGCCATAAATACGTCATAATATGTATTATCAGCGTGTAACATTAATATGCATAATATAATATCCGAATTCAAATGCTTATGTATTTTAAGTCCTCATAAGAGTGATAAACTCTTTTAACTGATTAAAACTATTATGTATTAAATTTGGTTCCTATTATTTACAAGTGTTCGGTGTGGCTTCCATTAAGTTATACGAAAAACATCTAATCGATATAATCAATTTATTTATCCAATACTTGCTCTTACGCATCAGTTATTAATTATTACTGACTCCACCGATTTTATAGCTCATCTATATTAAATGTGAATGGTGGTAAGTACTATCATCTTTTAATATAATATTATATATTATCACCAAAAGAAGTAGTCACGTGGTTTAAGATCACTCTTAATAATTAACACGAAAAAAGGGTGGTTCGCATTTTAAGAAAATAAGTAGGTATTATCTACAAGTTACAACAATGGTTTCCAACCTTTCATCATGACAACCCCCACGCCCAACTTAAACCAAATAAATGCGACACACTAAAATTTAATGAATAACCTTTAAGACCAAATAATTTGGTAAATATATTTTACGTGTTTTATAATAATATAATATTATAACGAAAACATTTTAATTTATTTTTTGTTTTACTTTTAGTTAATAAGTATTTATTTTGATGTCAAATAAATTCTGTTTACCTTAGTTTTCAACAGCTAGCTCACCCAAAATAAAGTACCATTTTATTATAATCAAGATTGATTACTCCAATTAATATTCACGCTGTATATTATAATCTGTTTCGTCCTCTTTTAATGATATATTATAGGCTATACTACTTTGCACTATACCGGATATTTGAAATCAAACCGCAGACGGATACGCGTGTTCAATTTCGTTTCCCTTGTATGATATAAAATTATATCGATTTTAATACATTCCGCGTATGAATCGTATCGTACATACACGTAGGTTATACGTGTATGTATATTACTGTATACCGTATGATGGTGTGTACTGTATATATAAATTATAAATGTAACATATTATGTCGTAACCAGTGGTGGATTTAAGAGTTTTAAATGTCAGGGCCCGACCCATAAGTTTAATTTCGTTTGACTTTTTAAGTACACAACGGATCCGGTAGTTTATTATATACTTTTATACTTTATACAAAACCTCAGTTTTTAATAAAACAAAATTTAGCAAGATGAACTCGTTGGAATCCGTTGACTAAGTGAATGCATGAGCTAAATTTGGTTTTAAGAAAAACGTATTGTTCTATTGTTCGAATTTTTTTTTGTCTTCTAATTTCGTATTCGTATATTTTATGGATACAGCATTTGCACAAGTACTTGGTCGCGTTACCCCAGCGTGACCGTCCGCACCAGGCCATACTGCCCGGAAACGCCAGCGAACACATTTCGACGACGGCCAGTCTGAACGCATCCGAAATACGACGTCTGATCGATCAGCAAAACTCCAAACAGGTCGTCCTCAACGAAGACGTATACGGCCCGTTACAAAACGATTCTCTAGTCATTGTCATTCAAGTATGCAACTAAATTATTTGTTATATAATATAATATACGTTATATACATTATACATTTATACATGGTCGCAGACGCTGAGTGCATACTTGTGTGTTATAATTAATTCGTACAGAAATTTGTGTGTGTGTGTGTGTGTGTGTGTGTGTATGTTTATTGTTATTATTATTGTTATTAACCATACATTGTATGAGATTCATTATATACGTTTTCGTATGCACACTGAATCATCGACCCGGAAAATGATAGACTATAATGATATGGTATTTTTATAATATTGTCATAATTCAACAATGGCCTGTTTAGATTTATGTCGAACACTATTTATCGTTGTTATTATTAATTGCTAATTAGGTCCACACTCGTATTATGTATCTTCGGCACACCATAGTGAGTCTGGCAAGGGCGAGAGGCATCGAAAACGCGTTACTAATATTCAGTCACGACCATTATGACGAACAAATAAACGAACTGATACAGATGATCGACTTTTGCAAAACCATGCAGATATTCTATCCGTATTCCATACAAACGCATCCGGGTACGTTTCCTGGTGAATCTCCGGAAGACTGCCCCAGGGACATTACCAAAGCCGAGTAATTATTCCAATAAAATTTAATGTTTATCATAGGTGCCTAAATAATATAATAATATTGAAAAACGTTGCACCCTCATAAAGTCATAAATCATAATTCATATACTTATAATAAATCATTATAAATTCCACGTGTGTTTCTTTTCTTTCTGTTTTTGTTTTCCATTGCGGCACATAGAGCAATTAAACGGAAGTGTATCAACGCCATGCATCCGGATCAATACGGTCATTATCGAGAAGCAAAATTCACCCAAACCAAACATCATTGGTGGTGGAAAGCAAACAGGGTGTTCAACGAGTTGGACGTCGTCGGTAATTACTCGGGTATGTAACGGACTTGACGCTTGGCCCCCCTGCAGGTCGTCGAATGTGTGGCGGCGAATTCAGTGGTGGGAATACATTGCATATTGTGTATACATTTTAGCGGTGGCCGAATACTACGACGGTTAATTTTTGCTGGGAGAGTTTCGAAATCATCAATAAAATATATTTGTATAGGATGAACGTTGCATGACCATTGACAATCCCTATTTTTCATTTAATAATGAATATATGCAAATTCTGATTTTTTACACTATTTAAACTCCTGTTGGCTGTGACAATAAAATATCCTTTTTTAAATTAAAAACTAACCTTATTTTATCGTTAGTCATGAATCAAATTCATTTTTTTAAATGTTGATGTATCTAAATTCTAAATCAATAATAATTGAACGAGGTCTTTCTGAGTTTTTTAAAATGTATAAACTATGGATAATAATTGTTCTTAAAGATGGTTTTACAAATCTATAAAAAATATCTAATATTTAATCTAGTACTTATTATACTGGGATGGTTTTTATAAAATTTAAATTGTTAACAGATTAATATTAATCACTATAATTTTCGAATCACGATAGCTCACACTTCTAAACCTGTTATCTTTGACCTATTCTTAATATGCAAAAATTAATAACTCATAATTCAAAAACTATTTGTTCAAATTTCAATTTTTATGCATCAACATGTTCGAAAAAAAAATTACTTTACGACTTGTAGAAAAAAATAGGTGATTTTAATTTTAAAAAATAAGTTATTATCGCCACATGGTACTTAGAATTCAAAGGTTTAGTAGTTACGTGGTCCTCAACAATAGCAATAAATACCTACAATGTACAAGCATTATAGCGACCCTGCGACCCGTCTACTTGTCTTTGAATAAATTCATTGTTCAATGAAAAATTAGGTATGAAGATGATTGGTTAATCACTGTGTACTCTCGTTATTGCAAGTTATAGAGAATACGATTAATTTTAAACTATTCATTAATTTTTTGTCTTACATTATCTCTAGAATCAAAAATAAGTATCATTAGACTTTTTTTCCGTTATATTTTTGCTTGTGAATGCATTATTTTGGGGATTGTCCCGAACGACATTTCTATATCGTTTACATGTCATTTACAGGCCCGATTTTATTTTTGGAAGACGACCATTATGTAGCAGAAGATTTCATATACATGCTTAAGTTGATGGAAAAATCGTGTAGTGTAGCGTGCCCACAATGCAGTATGTTGTCGTTAGGAACATACTTGAAAACGTATAATTTTTACGGAGAAGCAAAGGTGCGTTATAATATTTTATCAATTATTTTAATATTTACATACGTTTAATATGACAACCTTGACCCCTGTGAAATTTATGTTGAATATAATATGGTGTTCATTGATAATTTTTTCATTATGACTGCTGCGGTTTCGGATCGATTTTGAAACACACCCAATACATTACATAAATGTATAAAAATAAAATCGACATTATAGAAGGATATTTTAAGGGTAATACGTCGACAGCAAATATTTGCTGCAGAATTAACACCGCCGTCTTGGAGTTTTAAAATAGTTCCTTCATTTTCACATTATGATAAGGTTGAACAGTTTTCCTTTTTTGTACCTATATTTGTTTTTTTGCATGTATTTATTATCTTATTGTATTAATTATTCCAATAACCCAATTTGAGCTTTAGTAATTTTTTCCATCATGTATTACCTAATAAATTATACCCGTCAAAAAATGTCTTCTTTTCATGTTTGACTAAAAAATATCTGCATGCACATTTCATACATGCCTACCTACTTTTAACCAGAAATCGCTACCTGTTTAATATCATTATACTTTAAAAAAATCCAACGTATTTTATAGTTTTTCGCCTGGTTGTATTTTTATTACCTTTTTCATTTTACTTATAGAAAATTGTGCAACATGACTTAAAAATTATTTAGAAAGCAGATTGCTCAAAATACATTTTTTTTCATGAGTATATTTAGTAATTTAGGTGCATTAACCTTGAACTGTTGGTTATTAGTTAGAAGCCTCCATGCGACTTGCCCGTCATGCAGTTTTTCAATACGTTTAATTTAAGGAATAAGGTAAAAAGTATTCCAATCGGCTATCAATCTTAATGAGTTTTGTGCTAAATACAATAATTAATTTGTGGACATGTACCTAACCACCTAAATAAATAAAACTGTTTAAATTGCATTACAATAAACCACGCAATTATTTCGCCAATTGATGTGGGTGTTTACCTACTTAATACATTTAATGTAATTTTTTTTTAATGTCTGTTTTGCACGATTAATAATATTTGTTCAGGGTTTAGTAGTGGTCAAAGTGGCTGATAATTTCAATTTTCTCTTAAACTGATTAATCAAACTAATTAAATTTATCTTTTAATTAAATTTTTTGTGTTTAATTATGATCATATACTTAGAGAGAGTATGATAAAAATCAATTTAACAACAATTAAACTAATTCTTAATTATTAAAATTGCTAAAAATGTATACTTGCATGTTGCAACATCTATAAAAATCGGATGGCATAATAATTGTATAAAAAATTATAAATACTAAGTCTATTATTACTTGAAATAAATTGAGTTAATTATATTTTTGATAAACTATTTTTGAGTACACCTGCAATTATTTTTTCAGAAAAATATTCTCTAATATACTAAATATTGAATATATAACATACACAATTGCATAACAATATAGACCAAATGAGAATATTAACCCTAGTAAACTTACTCAAGTTGAAATAAACTTACAAAGTAAATAATATTTTTAATCTTAAGGAACTTTCAACTTTTACAAACTATTATTATTTATTTTATTTCTTTATAGTTTAAATTTTTATCAAGCATGGTATGAAATTCTTCAAATTCTTATCATCCAGTTATTTGTAGTTGTATGAGATATAAGTATTAATAATTAGGTACCAAAACAAATTTTGATTATTGGTATGATTTATTTGCTTGCTTAAAGGCTTAAAGTTGTAAGTTATTGTATTGTTTAATACTTTTTATTCATTGATAAATAATCATTAATCCGTCTTATGGAAAGAAAACAGTATTAATTATCAAATTTACTATATGTATCATTGTATAAAATAAGTTTATAATTCTAAAAAAGTTTATATAAAACTCAGAAAATTCTGTGAAAACACTTTTATGTCGTTGTGTCTATCCGTCCCTTTTTAATCTCGTTACCGTGGTTACACTAATACTATTGTTGATTTTGATAAAAATATTATTTAATGACCTTTTTGGCCTAGACTCCTAAAACTATATATATATATATCTTTAAACATATATTTATTAGTTAATAGTTTACATACCTATAGTAAATTACATTTTCTACTGTTAATTCATATGATATAAAAGTCAGTACTTTATCATGTGTTATTTAAATGTCTTAACTGTTTTAGTTATGTTAATTTAAACATTTAAATAAGTCAATGTAGCAACAATCATTAGTTATTTGTTGAGTATATTAAATATTGTGTAGGTAATGTAACACTTGTAAATTAGGTGTTCATAGAAACCAGAGAGCTTAGCATAACTACTCATTACTTATAGGTTTTTCTTACTCTTATTGTATTGTGCATTATTAAGCTTGTAAACCATTAATAATGTGTTCAATTTAAATTGATATCTATTAATTTAAAAGCAAAAAGAGGTTAATGAATAATAATTGTTTTATATTTGACTCTTTTCAGAGGTTGCAATAAAAGTGTATTGATTTATTTAACATTAGCCGGTTCTTGAACTACTTAAATTAATGTATTGCATTATAATTGCATAGCATACCTTAGTTAATATTATTAGTAATATGTATGTTTTTATAATAATAGAGTTTTTTTAAGCATGTAGATTTATTGTTACATTTTGTGTTAGATTTTCTAATAATAAATATAAAAAAATGTTTCTCTAAATTATATGCATCCGTTCTAATTAAATTTAAACTAATTGTATTTGTGCAATATTTAAAATATTTTAGGCTGAAATTTCTCAATGGATTAGCAGCAAGCATAATATGGGTATGGCGTATAACCGGACTGTTTGGAAACAGTTTGTCGATTGTGCTGACACATTCTGCAAGTATGATGATTACAACTGGGACTGGAGTCTTCAGGGTGTATCCAATAATTGTCTTAGCCATGAATTTAAAGTGTTTGTCCTCAAGGCTCCTAGAGTATTTCATATTGGTGAATGGTAAGTGATTATAAAATTAAGACACTTATACATAAATAATAATGTAAAATATTTTTCTTGTATTATAGTGGTGTTCATCATAAAAAAAGTTGTTTCGATATGGCACTCATAGCTAAAGTTCAAAAGCTGCTTAGTTCTGTGTATAAATATTTATTTCCAGAAAAATTAGAAGTGACATATGCACCAATCAAAAAAAAAGTACTGCGCAAAGGAAATGGTGGATGGGGTGATGTGCGTGATCATGAATTATGTTTGCGAATGGTAAACCGCCAATTTTGACATTTGGCAATTAGTATTTAATATTTATTATATTAAAGAAATAGATCAAGTTCCTATATATCATGGGAGGATAGACCTCCTAGACGCGTAGACATAATACTCAATATTGTAATAAGTATTGCTATGTCTATGCTTGAACCAAGTCTTATTTATTTTATTTTATTGTTTTTTTTTTATTATTATTACCTATTTATTTTTATTTATTCCTTATTATTTTTATATTGGGTGAAGTTTGATTTTTATGTAATGTGTTGCCATAATTGCGCTCAAGAATTTTTATTTTTATGTAGTACGGCAACTATTATAAGTTATGTTTAAGGCTGGATAACTAATACATTATTTATATATTAATGTATTTATGACATTTTTAAATGTCACTGTTGGTTTGACTATTTGGCGTGAATTTATATACCCCAGTGATTTTTGAAACATACTGTCGACATAACTGATAAGTTTTATATTGACACAAAAATAAATAACTTTTATCCAATTGAACATACCAATTTTTGTATGGTTTTCAGAGTTGTTCATCAATTTGAATGTGCTATAAAACTGTATTTTGTGATACAAGTTAACACTTATGTATTTTTAATTTGTGTTTCATTATTTAGCTTCAGCATTCCACTTCATTAAACATATTGTTAAAACATAATACAATGCAAATTGAAATGAAAATGTACAACTCTGAGATTAACTTTCTAGTCATTTAAAGTCAATATTTAACTTTTAGTTACATTCATTTCCCAACTATCAATAGTCATTAGGTTAAGTTTCAAATGTGATTGTAATCCGCAAGAATTGCATGAAAATAAATTTATGAATTTGTTATACTTTTTTTTATTTATTTATCACTTTTTCCAATTTAGATATAATGAAGAAGAAAATGACATAATTAGTTAAATCAAAAAAAAAAAAAATTTAGTATCAAAATATTTTTTGTAGGTTCAAACAAGTTTTAATAAATTTAGCTGTTGCTTATTATTTATGTTATTTAGTATAATTAGTTAATAATCATTTTTGAAGCAATTTCATTCATAGTTATCTAATAGTGAAAGTCAATGATATACCTACATAATGTACCAAATCCTTAGAATAAACAACAAATATTAAAAGTTATATTTCTATTAAACTGTATCCACATCAATTAAATAATAACGATGCAGTTTTATCTTATTATTTTAAAAGAAATTTAATAATTTTTTTAACAGAAATGTATTGTTTTAATTATGTACAGAACATAATATACATTTTATTTTTTTAATAACAAAAGAAATTATTCAGGATAAAAGTTAGATTACTGAAGAACATATTTTTAAAATATTTATAAGCCTTTAATGGGTGAAAAAAAGATAATTGCATCGTTCAATGCCCCTCAATGTTACAATTTACAACCATGTACATTCTAATATTTATGCCTTGGTTGAACGTGATTTAGGTAATATATATTTTTATATTTAGTTAACTCATGATTAATCATTATTTTGATGTCAAAACTATTTATATTACATTTTAAGACTAGTTGGTTATTATTGGTCAAAAATATTGATTTACATTTAAAAATAGCTTCCTCCTAAATAATATTAACATACTCATAGAAATCATATATAATATATATATATATTATATATTATTTCACCTACGATATTTTTAATTTAAATTGATATATTTAGTAATACTGTAATTGTATTATATTTAATATTTATATAACTACCATATTATGCTAAAATATGAATTAAAACTCAAATCACTTTTTGTTGTTGTATGTTGTGAAAGTAAAAATTAATATTTTTAATTGAATCAATATTTTTGGAAGGTGAACATTATTGAATCACAAATAAATAAACATTATACTCATTGTTACATTTAATACAATTATAGTATTAACTAAGATGAATTAAAAACCATTATAATATGTCAATGTGTCAAAATGTATATTGCATATAGTATATGTTCAAATAGTGACATATGCTCAAAAACATATTTTATGTTTACAGCAACTAAAATTACAAAATAAATGTATTTACATAGCTTGAATATAAATCTGCCTTTTATTATTTGCTGTAGAAAAACCATCTCGCTTTTTAACACTTTTCTCATTTAACAGTTACCAATATATAGGAAGTGGAATATTTAATTTTCTATACCTAATTGTTATTGTAACTACACTTAATATACATAATAATCAACACGCAGTTATTTAGAAAATATATTCTTTGTGTTTCAATATCTGGGCTCTAAATCTTTGGCATGTGCCTGTCTGTATAATGTGTAATTTTTAATAATCTTAAATTTATACTTGTTGACCTAAATCAAATTATTATTTATTCAGCAATTGTATTTTTCTTATTAAACTACTAGGATTTGCTATAATCAAAACAAAATCCTCCCCTATTAACTACTAAATTGGTGCCATAATTGGTGCTTACCAGTTAGTATAATAATTAATATTATATAAACTATGTTATTATACCTATATTGATCTTAGTGTATTTGATTTTGTGAAAAAAATTAAAATATTAAAAACAGTACATGTTGGTAGCTTAAAATATATTTATATATTTTTTAATATGTTTACTTTATTATGAAATGTATGTACTAAACTGTATTTCATCCATGATATTACTTATAGCCATAGGTAAAGAGGGCCAAATGGCTGATTGATAAGTTGTATTGAATGGTGTTGTTTTGCAATATGTTATTCAATATGTTTAAGTGTGATAATATAAGAATAAGCTTTGTACAAATAAATATGATGAATATTTTTGGGTTTTTTTACATGTACTGTACAATAAACCGCCATAGGTACACTTTTTGTGATGTTTGATTTCAAAAACTACTTAAATATCTAAAATACTTTTTAAATGTATTTATTGTTTTTGTATGAAAAAATAACAATTAATGCTTATAATTATAAATTTTAAATATTCAAATAGAATATGAATACATTAATTATGTATTTAAGCTGTAATGTAATGTTAAACTAAATATGAAATATAAATCAATATTTATAATTTGCTTTTAGGTCAATTATTTTATTAAAACAAATCCTAAAACATGCTTAGTAAAAGAATTACCATATTAATCATGGTTCAGAATTATAGTTTGAAATTATAGTTGAACACTTAATTTACCTATATTTTAATTTATTCAGGGATGAAATAAACCAGATGAACCTTTATTTGGGTCCATTCCTTCCGCAGTTTAAAATGTCATTAAAAAATAATATATTTGTTTGCTATGAACAGGGGGGTAGGGATTGTCCCATTTTACTATGTCTGTGACCTAGAATAATTGCAAGCTACAAATTGATTAAGAATAAAAATTTAAAAAATGTAATAAGACTATCTGCTTAATATTTTAATATTTATGTACCAATGCCTTATGAAATAATACAAGGATCACATTTTATTTTTGAAAATACTAATATTAAATGATTCCATCTAAATAAGTCTGTATGATTGTATGTTAAAATGTTACATGTAGTTATTTATTGTCTTGGAGCTTCTATATAATTTAATGTTTGAATGTAAAAATTTTAGATTAACGCTAATAGTTTACAGAACAAAGTTAGCTATTTTATTTTTTGCTGTAAATGAAATGAAAGACATTACCCATCTGCTGTTTATGAGTTACCTTCCTAGTAATATGATTATAATAGCCACCAAAATATGATTTTATTTTTCATATAGTATTTTTCACCAAAAATTGAGCTAAATAGATAATACCTACCTAATTCAATAATGAATAAACCTAGAAACATGTATAATTGTGTTGATGCTAGTTTTAGTTTTTGTGATTACAAAATTTTTTTTAAGGTTTTATGGAAAAAACATTTGCAATCATTGTACATAATGTATGATATTATTACTTTTTTTTTTTTGTTCTGCCTGTATATCAGCTAGAAACAGATTACATTTTTTATGGTCACGATGATGGTGGATCAATATCTGCCTAACCTAATATAAAAATGTAATCTAACTTAATTTATTAGCCAATGTTTTTTTATGATTATGTACTAACTACCTACTATATCTTATTAATTTTTATTTCTATACATACACATATAATACCTTTATAATTAGGTAGGTACTAATTAGGTTATCGAATACCGATACTAATATTATAAAGAAGAAAAATGGTTTGTTTGTTTGTGTGTTCGAGGTCAAAACAACTTAACCGATTTAAAAAAAAATTGTACCGTTACAAAGCTACACTATCCCAATTATTATCATATCTATAGGTTATATTCTATCTTGATAATTGACCCTTATTTTTTGTTATTTGATAATTTTTATGGACATAATAATAGTATTTTATTTGTGTTGATTATAGGGTTGCTATTTAATTCGGTTAGATACATAAAATAAAATAATTACTATAATTGAATATAATTTTAGATCTGTATTTTATTTTTGGTCTAAACCAAAATGAGTGTGACCACTAACGTATTTTTTATGACTGTGTTAAAATTTTTTAATGAAGATTAAGATGGGGTAAATCCACCGGAATATGTCACGAAGTTTTGAACATCACATCACTATGCCAGGTATTAATGATTGACGAATTGAACACACATTTTGAAGGAACATAATATGGAGTTGGTAGTTTTATAGGAAAACTAAGTGCTGGTGATTAGCTAGTCTATACAGATATTTTTTTTTTCCAAGCTTTTTCTATAAATGGTTGACATAAATATCACATTTCTTACAAGTCCCAGTACTCAGGTAGGTAGGTATAGTATCTTATAAGTTATAAGTATTTAGGTTTTATTTAGGTGATTGTGACCTATTGCTGTATGATTATTATTTATTAGCCATAACCTTATTATTTTAACTTTTTAATCATTATCATTAGTAAACATTTTAACTCAATAGACTGTAAGAACCTACCTATACCTAAGTGGGATAAATTAAAATCCCTACAGTTTATCTTACTGTTTAGGTAATAAGTATTCCCACTACGTCGCCGGCTCAAAAATGGAAAATGTATTTTAGTACAGTCCACTAGTCAATAATAGGTACACATGTCACACCTAACCTATACCGTAGGTGGCACTTGGCGAGCACAGAGGAGGGGGTGCAAAAATCAAATATTTAAAAATAATAATATTGCAAATTGAAAAAACTGCAGGTGTCGATAAAACAACCTTGCATTGGGATATGGTCTTGTAGCCATGTACACTTATGAATCATTGCTTTTTTATTGTCACCTCACATCCTATATGCATGTGTTTGTAGGTTAAAAAGTATCGGTTTGCTTCTGCCTCCCTTGACTAATACTGGGGGGGGAGGGGGAGTCAATTTCAACTACAAGCTCCTAAAATGTTGCCTTTGGGCTATACCTATTACCTACTCCTTTATTTTTTATAAAGACTCGCCTTCATAGTCTATCCATTTTTCCGTTTTAATTTTATGATAAATGATGACATTTGTACTATAAATATCAACCGTATGCTTGTGATAACACATCGGCCCCCAGAGAACCTTAATTAGGTATGTCCCGACCATAGACCTAAAAAGAAATCTTTATAGGTCTATGGTCCCCGGAATTACTTTCACCACGGACCTTTACACCTGCTGATACATCTACATATCATACCTATACATAGTAACTTTGACAAAATACCATGACGTATACATAAAAATTATTTTTTTAAATACATACCTACGTGTTTAATGATAAATGTATTAAACAAATTATTTAACGAGGAATAAGCAATTTGTACCAAAGGTAAAATGCAAATTAAAAATTAATAATACTATTGAACATTTTTTTAATTTACAGTTTCACACACAGGAAACCTAATGATTTCAAAGTCAAGTAGATATTG